CCGATCATATATACATATGATTCTACATCGAGTCGGAAGAGGTTCCCCTCTCGGTGTATAGAAATCCGAAAACAACTGAAGAGTAAGTGTCAAACCTCTAAATAAAATACACTCGAAATAAAAATGTTTTTTTCTTTGTATCATTTCTTGAATTATTTTTTATGATAATTTGCTTCCTGAATTAATATATCTGCGTTGTCAAAATCAGAATTATGCAACATTTGGTGTGCATGTTGTGTTAATGCTGTTTTATTTTCACTAGTATTTCTCAGACTGTATTTATGCTCGTACATTCTCTTTTTTAAATATTGTTTAGTTTGTCCTATTATTGTATTATCACATTCTAAACAATTCACTCTATATACAGTATTTGGTACATCCATTTTGTCAGTTTTTGGGTTTAGTTTTGGGAAACATTCAGTTGATAAGTTGTTTTTTGTTGTTTGTTACTCAATGATACTAAATTTTACGTTACGATGGGAATTATTAAAAGATGCGTTAACAAAAACCGTCAAAATCTGAAACACGATGGAGCGCCAAACAAGCGGTTAGACTTATCGTCGATCGGCTAAAGAATATAGGAGAAATATTAGAAAAATTAGCAGAGGACACTACCACTAAAGTGACAACAGAAGTGAAGCTTTTGTTGCAAAATATACTAACTTTAAGTTTCATAACTTTAGTTCATTTCCGGTATGAAAGCTTAAGGGGGATTGATCGTGTGCAGGTCAGATTACTAGATCCTAGAATTAATTTTAGAGAAGCATTCCAAGATTTTGAATCAATAGCGGATTTTGAAAGATTGATTCCAAAGCGATTTTAGGAAATGGAAGCTTTCGAACTCTGGCTGTACAAGGGAATACTGAAAATATCTTGGACACGGAAATTAATAACGCCGAAGTAATGCGACGGATCAAAAAAGGACCAGAACTGTTAGATACCAAACAATGTAGAAAACTTCAGTATTTCGGACACATAATGAGCTCAAATAGATACGGGCTGCTTCAGGAAATCCTACAAGGCAACATTAATAGTGGAAAATCATCAACAGAACTTTTCCGAATCATCATCAACAAAGTGAAAATAGCCATGCTGATGATCAACATCCGGAGCGAATAGGCACTTGAAGAAGAAGTAATAACGGAATCAAAATTTAACAGCAAATTTTTGATTTGATTGATTTGATCCGTCTGGAGGATACACGAAAAAGTAAATTGAAATTTACATAGCAATTCAAAAATTAAATAAAGTAAGGAGTGTTCTATTAGAAATAAAAGGTTATA